TATATATATATATATATATATATATATATATATATATATATATATATATATATATATATATATATATATATATATATATAGTTACAAAGAAAAATATATTGCGCTATAATTGTATGTGATAATTATTAATGGAGAAATGAAAACTATAAAGGATTAAAGAGAATGTTATTATAGAAAAACAAACGAGAATATAACGAGAAGATTATAAATAGGAAATTAACAATAAAAGCTGATAGTAATACAATAGTAGCTAAAAAATTTGTGTACACAATACCTGTTGTTTAATGATAATACATGATGAATGATGATAAAAGGACTTGTAGCATTATTACACGGTAATAAATTTGTAATATTCAAAAAACCATTTAATTATATATAATTACTATGTTTATATTATTACGATATTATGTCAGAATAATTAATAATTGTCAAGTTTTCACGTCACGGTCATTGTCGTTTATAATTATATGAGAAAATGTGCGGTAAGAGAGAAAAATCGTGTGTATTATTATATACTACGATAAAACTAAATGTGTACAATTACGAATACAAAGTATACATAGCCCCAACATTGTACATGTTTGTACATAGAAAACCCCGTATACATCTGTGAATAAATGTAAAATTACAATATATCGTATACGAAGAAGCATAATAAAACGCAAAATGCAAAACATCCCAAGCAGCACAAAGCATCGGGCTAATGTTGAAACTCTCTACAGTGGCCAACCGTTGGCCAACTGATATGTGCTGCTAGGAATGTTCAACGAGTTTGCGAGTTGCAAATTCCTCTTCTTTCTTTATCTCCTGTCGCATTTTTATCATTGTATGTAAATATAACATAACTTCTTTCACATAACTTAAAATCATGTAATATTTCTTATTTGCACTCACGTGTTTTATTGTACGTATGCATATAGCGTGTGTTTTTATTTATATTTAGTATTAAATTAATCTTTAATTTTAATTTACCTAAATTTATTTAATTAAAGTAAAATATATTTACGACATGAAGGCCATTTGCACAACACTCGCGATCATAATTTTAGCGATAAGATTCCCTGAGCAAATTTGGAGTTGATTTCTTCTTCGCGAAAATGTCGAGCTGTTTTCCTTCGCATGAAGTTCCTTTTGAACTAACACGTTTCTTTGCATTAAGGCGTGGCTTTCGATTTCAGACCGACTAAACATATCATAAAGAAAAGTAACGACCAGCCGCCAATTACGAGTAAGCCACTGTATACGTCCAGCTCATATATCGATTGTCCTTTGTCCATTACTCCTCTAAGAGATATGGTCGGCAAAGTCATCGGCATGGCGTAGCTGATCCAGCGAAGTGCCTTCGGCATGCCTTCCACTGGCCACAAGGTTCCTGTCATTTGTCACATAAATTGAACCATTAGCAAAATGACCAAAATAACCAAAAAATTTAGTTTTACAAGATATGAAAAAAGAAGGCTCACCGCACAAGACTATCAGTGGAAAGAGACTTCCGGCTGAGGCATAATGAGCCGTACTATGATTCTTGGATATAACGGAGATGAAAAAACCTGAATCAATATCATTAATTAGTTTCTTTAGCAAATATCGTGTTGTTATCTGGATGATAAAATAAAATGAGAAGAGCTAGTTACTACTATATAATTATTTCTAAAATGTAAAAAAGTGAGTCTATATTAGCAGCTTAAAGAATTAAAATAAGGGACAAAAACAAAGAGAGCCATTTCCTTGTAAATCTTTTCTGTGATCTTCACGAGAGTCTTCTCAGGTGTTGTACATTAACAAAAAGATACTTGACAATTTATTTGTAGGATATAAAGCTGTCAATTATTATTCAATATTATTATTATTATTAAATTCAATCAATTATTATTAATATATTTCTATAAGATAAAGTTTATTTTTGTGATATAAACTTTTATTTCTCACAAATAAATTTTCAAGTTTTTTTCTCAGTATATATAGAATATTTACCATACATCAGTCCACAAATACTGCTGAGTAAGCCAAACCAGATTACAGCGAACATCGATCCTGCGCATTTCAAGCCCCAGATGGGAAAACACAAACATAGTGTCATCGCGGTGTTAATAATTACGATGACGTTTTGGACTAACATGTGAGATAGCAGGATTTCTGTGGTTGTCACTCCTGTCGTAAATTACCCGATGTATATACAAGGTGTTCCTTTATTAATTCTTTATTCGTTCGGCGAACAATCGTTCAAAAATTACCTTGAACAAGACTTCGGTCCCAAACACCCTCTAACCGTTCTGTGACCATTAAAGATGTGGAGATAGTGGTGGCTAAGAAGAAGAGAAGTCTAGAAAAGCGTAAAAGATCTGGTGTACACTGCCGAATACATAGTATGTCTTAATTAATAATGTCTTAATTGTTGCGAGATAAGCGGAACTCAACACTTATTAAAACGATAATCCCTATATGAATAGCTTTTTATCATTACTGTGATAGTTTTATATGATTATTATACTTGATACTTTTAGTTGCTTACGTTATTATGTAGCCTGGAGCCATATAACGTCTGTAGTCGATATCTAGCTCTCCATAAAGCGGTTTCTCGAACTGAAATTTCGTTTGGAATCTTACTTTTAGTCTATGTATCTTAATGTTTTGAAATTCCTAATTAATAATAATTGGTTCCGTGGAATCATAACTTCAATAAACGGCAATACGCAGTTTTAATAACAAAAGTTTGACACAGTTATGAATTTAATTTTTAATATGTTCCTTTGTTCGATTAGCTTCTCGTTCGACTCTAATTTGAATTATAGCGCGATATATAAAATATACTCACTCGAATAGGCAGATTGGCGAACTTCGGTGAAATCCCGCAGTCTTTCGCTACGTCCTCGTAAACCTCAAAGAAATAATCAAACAACTTCTTCTGAAGAAAAAGCCCGATCTCTCTATCTGTCAGACAAACGTCATCGCAGATTTAACCGTTTGAATGCTTCATTTCTATTAATCTAATGGATACATTAACTAATGGATACATACCACCCATATCGAGAAAAACCTGAATTTGCCCAGCGACAATGTCGGCTTCGTCGACATCGATGAAGTTGCCCAATCGATTCTGCAGAGCCTCGGAAAAGTTTCGACTAAAGTACATGACGCCGGCGAGTTTGCCGTTGCGTACAGCATCATTTGCCTCGGATATGTCGTCGTAGTATTTCTGCCAACAGAATATCGAGATAGCAATGTCGTCAAATTTGATCGAGATTCGCTCTTTCGTTCTGTTTTTATCCGCTGGCGTGAGAGTTAGGCGCGGATAAATTGATAATGCAGTACCTTCATCGCTGTCGCATCGTTGATCTGCTGTAGGAACTTGCAACTGACGTTCCCGATGTGGCAAGTGTACTCTTGCTCATCATACCAGATGTTCGCGAAGTTACCGTCGCAGTTGCCGGCTTCGTCGTTAACAATGCCGATTGTCAGACCCTTTGGATCACCGCCGACCCCGATGAAAAATGTACTCACTTGAAGTATTGGGAATAATATAGCGAAGGCTATTCCTCTAAAAAACAGATTGTTCCATTCCAAGAATAATTAGTGTGGAAAAATTCTTCAGTTACGTAAGCAGATCCACAAATATGATGCACGATAATTAAACTCACGAATAATGGCGCAAAAACTGAATGCCATTTTTCACTATTAGAGCTCTAAATCTTCTCAGTCTCGGAACTCTTCGTTTCGGATTGGCCTTGAATTTTGAAACTTTATCCTTAACAGTCCAGAAATAAAAGAAACGATGATTAATAAACATTAATTAATATAATTATTAGTTATTAATAATTACCGATGAGTTAGTAATTGTCTAGATAATAGTAATTGTAATCTAATAATAACAATCATAATCTTTATGTGGAGCTTTTTACCTTTGCTCTCCTGTTTCGCTCCTGGCAAAGCGGTTCATTTTCAGAACTCTCTGCTTTATTCTTTTGAGCCGTGGACCCGCTGCTGATGGCCATATTGTTATCTTCCTGTGTTCGACTCAGTATCAGGAACACCTCTTCCAACGAATTACATTGAAATTGTTCCAGTAATTGATATGGCGGTGACTCCGCCAAAAGTTGGCCACATCTCATTAAACCGATCTGGATATTAAAGATTAAAATCTAATCTACAACGTGCTCTTCCCCTGCTTCCTCTTTATTAATTTTTTAAATTTTGACTTTTAAACCAGCAAAGAATAGAGAATAAGAAACAGGATATAAAGAGCACATTATAAATTAGGATTAAATAACAAGTATCACCAGTGGCATAGCCAGAAAAAAGTTTCGGGGGGCTGTACTTTTTATTTTTGATAAGCAAAAAAAGGTCATTTGAAAAAATTTTTCTCACACTTAGCGTAACCCAGAAAATTAATTTCGGAGGAAGCTGCAGCCCCCTCAGCCCCTCCCCCTGGCTACGCTACTGAGTATCACGTCAGAGCAGAAGTGATAACTGACTTTATTCGCGTCCTTGGTTTCCTCAATGTAGTGCGTCGTAATTACCACTGTGGTATTCTCATTCTGCGTGATTTTAATCAGGTGGGCCCAAATACTGAAGAAAGAAAGAACACTTATAAACTATTGGCTAATTACGTCACTAATTTCCCGCTATATTTCCCAAGTCTCTAGAACGCGCGTTCAAAAGAGCGAGTAGCAAAATCTACTTGCTTTTCTCTCAAAATTGGATCCAGACCGACAGTGGGCTCATCCAGGATCAAGAGTTCCGGACGGTGAATTAAAGCGACGGCAAAAGACACCCTCCTCTGCTGACCGCCGCTCATATTCTTCACCAGCTGATTCTCCGGAGGTAATTGGAGCAATTCCGAGAGGAACTTCTGCCTCGTCTCTGCAAAACATGGTAAAAAAGTCTCGGTTATTTTCACACCAGCGTCTTCATCGAATCCCTGTCCTACCGATTTCGTCGTTGTCAAGACCATTTATCCTGCCGAAGTAGTAAAACGCATCGCTCCTCGTGAATTCGCCGACGAGAGAGATCTCCTGCGGCATGTAACCAACTCGGGGCCCGGGAATCCCGGAGCCTTCGCTGCCGGGGTTTCCACCCAGGACCCACACATCTCCACTGTTAAGACGTTGAACCCCAACGATGCAGGATAACAAGGTGGTTTTGCCGCAACCGCTGGCACCCAAAAGCCCATAACTGTTTCAAATAATAAAAACAGATACGCAATTTTTAATTGCAATTAATGATCAAACAATGGAACTTCCAAGTTCTAACTTTCAGTTTCTAACAGTGGCTGACCCGACTAGAATTTTATCCCGCAGTTCCAATCAGGTTGACCCCAATTAACTATCTAGTTAATTGGGGTATTATCTTTATTATTATAAAATGCTAATTATTAATAATTCTTACTATATTCTTATTTTAATTCTTATTCTTATATTCTTATCTCTTGATTGTTCAACATACTTAGTTGTTAACATAACTAGAACTGTTAGAATCTTATAACATCACCTTTTACAAACCAAACTTTCGAATCAATCTGGTCATAGAATAAATTTTTCGGAAATTAGTCGGAAATCTATGTTCGATTAGAAGAGAAAATTATATTATTTATTTCTTCAAAGTCCTTGTATATTTGCATACTTATCTAGCCACATTTACATTTCGTTGAATAACAATGATATTTATAGTTCCTCATACGAATTGCAATCAGTCTGAACTCTCAGACGATAGGTACGTGACTCATAAAAATTCACGTTATTCAATAGCAACGGCTATCCCGCAGATCGTTAAATCCGTGAGCAAATAACAATCTTCCGTCGGCAAAAACGATTGGCTAACACACCTGTAGTATTTGGCATTAGCAAGTTTGATTTAACGTTATCTTTAAAATAAATAAAGGAAGGAGGAACGTGTGCCGTGATATCGTTTACTTCCACATCAATACGGAAAATAGGAGAGTCGTAAAAATTAGCTTTCGTTCGCCCGGACTCTTTGTTCCCGCTAAATGATACAAGATCACAATATAACGTCTACGGATATGATGTTGTTATCGAATGCAACATCATAAAATCATCGAGCGACCTCACGATTTGCTTCAGTTTCGCCGCGACGCAATGATGATCAGCTTCATTGTGATTCTGTCGCTCGTAGTAAGAGCAATCTCCTCTTCATTATCTGTACAGGGATCGTTATCAACGCTCGACGACGACACGGTATCGATTGATCTTTTCGCGAATAAATCTAACGATGGTGTTGACGAACTAGTTGAGAAATTGCACGGGACAAAGCGGATTCGTCTGATAATCGATTTCGTTGGGAAGATCATCAATATTCAGCAGGAGATTAACGACAGAATCGATCGTCATCAGAATTATCTCGGTGAGTCAATTTTCATTCAAGGTAAATGTCTTAACTGACTGAACTAGTACAAAAGTATAATCAGTATTTTTATATTAATAAATATTATAAATATTAATAATTAATATTAATATTAATATTAATTATAAATATTAATATTAATTATAAATATTAATAATTAATAAATATTAATAATTAATAAATATTATTAACGAATACATTTTTATTAATAAATAATTAATGGAATTAATTATATAATATAATCTAATCTAGTAATATAATTTAAAATGCAAGTAAAGGGTTTATTAAATCTATTTCTGTACTGTTATTAGAAGTTTTTATATCTTTCAGTGGTAACTTTTAATGGAACGACAACTTTAATAAACATTGTCGGACCTGAAACAATGAATCATGCAATGCGCAGTGCTATCTTAAGAAAATTAGATTCTATAAATACGAATGTTGCAACAACTGCGCTGAAAGAGATATCTTGCAAAACCTTATTCAATGATTTTATAAGAAGCATAATCTCTCGAATGTGCAAGATAAATTTAATAGACGATGAAAGCAAAAGCAGCATTAATAGAGATCACAAAAAAATTCGGTACGACACTATAACCGGAGGCAAAATTGCACCGAAAATAGAAACACGAATTTTACGTTATTCTGCATTGACGGACACTGGCGGTAATAATTCTGAGGAAAGTTCTGTTACTAATAAAATTCCTGTTGGTCGAAAAAAACGACCGAATAAAATAAACGAGTTTGCTGTTATTATTAGTAATTTTACCAATAATAATTCTACATTTAAAATGTCGCGAAATAAAGATCTATCCACTGTTAAAACTGGTTTTATGGATCGAGAAATCGTCTCTGAGCAAAAAAATTTTAGAAAAGGAACATTCAACGATAATTCATTTGCGACGAAACTTGGTGATCTTGAAGATCAATTCACACTGTTAAAGGAGACTCCAACTTTTCCGTTAGATAAAGATATAATCAAATCTAATCAGATTGTAAACGAAAAACGGAAAGAAGCTCTTACGAACACAATATCGCCTATATTATTTCAAGGGAATGTCACGAACGTTCCAAAAATCTTCTCTCGTAGGACATTTCAACTTCCTTGGAACGTTCCTTGGAGCAAAGATCAGAACATGCAAAATCAGCCTCATGTATCTGAGACAAAGATGGACAAGATGTCGGCAATGGATGAGATTCTGGAAGCGGTACATCAAGTCTTGCCAACGAAAAAGTCCGCAAAGATACCGTCAAAAAAATCGAAAATGACATTTGGGGTGTCTTGATGCCCGGCGACTCGCAAAAGATTTTGAAAGTTCTAACAGATCCTTTCCACAGCACAGCTTTTGTAATGTAATTTTAGTCGAGTACATGATGTTATATATTGCAGCATGTAACTCGTAGATTCAACGTCATAAATAATCGAAAGGGTTTCCCTTTCTATCCGTACGTTCACACTAGGCGAAAACTGCATGACTATTGTGTAACATATTACGTAACGGACAGCAATTTAAGTAGTCGATAAATGTTTGCGTAAAATTGCATGACGACAGTTTCTGCACGTTTACGCGAATACGGATAAGGCAATTAGTATTGAGTCGTCGTGGAAGGCTTGCTCTGCGTTTGTGGAATGAAGCGGAAACACCGCTACATGGTATCGAAATGATTACATATCGCTAGATCAGATAAAAAAGGAAAATTACAAGTTAGATTTTTAATGCGGAAATAACTTGAGATGCAATTCTATCCAATTGACGACTCATAATGTATGATAATTGCCACGGTTACAGGGGCATCGCGTACTTATCGATAAGTGTAGCGATTACTCACATGGAACCTCTAGACACCGTCATGTTCAGGCCATCGAGCACTACTTTCTCGGATCCGTAACGCTTTGTAGCGTTCCTCACGACGACAGCCTCCTGTTGCACCATTTCGCGAAATGGTGAGGATTGCTCGCTCAATGATGAAACTGCGACAGAAATTTTTTTCCGTTTAAATTCGAGACAATGTTCTTAAAACGATCGTTTTGTGCGATTTACGAAGAAACAATGCCTTTATTCTGATTTGATTTCTCCTATTAGAAACTTCATCGCTTAAAAATATAAAAGCGGTTTTTTTCAGAAGAAAGTTAAGCACTCTTAAGACTACGAGCATTTGACGATTCAATGTTTGGTAATCATTTATGGAGAATATTCCGAAGCAGAACAAAAAATCTCACGATGATGTCGAAATGACAAAGAAAAAAGATTGGACCATGATTAAAAAGCGGATTTTTTAGTTTGTTTACGTCATTTTGATTTTACTGTAAGATTTCTTGTCCTATTTACATTTATACTTAAAAAAAAAATGTAAAATATACTGCGATTTATGTTTACTTTATGTATTGAGATTTATGTTTATTTTATGCAGTTTAAAACTACTTCAAGTGTATTACAAAAACTCACTTATCAATTATCATTTACTAACTCATTCATAATTTATTTCATGCAGTTTATAAATATTTAAAATATGTATTACGAAAACTCACTTATCAATTATCATTTATTTTAACTCACTCATCATTTATTTCATGCAATTTATAAATACTTCAAATATGTATTAAATATTTATTTGTCAATCACGATTCAAACATTTTCTTGTCATGCTGATATCATGATTTTCCGTTCTACTTGGATAAGTATTATTAGACATCTTTTGTATCGAGCAACATGTTCCGTTGCAACATAACAGTATTGCTGAGACGACCCTTTTCTTTGCTGACTTGAATATTCGACTTTGCGCTGACGAAAATCATTAAAAAGTAAGAACATGAAAATTAGACTATTATACAAGTCTATAAAAAATGATTTTTTTACACTTCTCAACAATATCAAAATCCCGTCCCGTAGATTATTTACAGTATATCTTTTTATTTTACTGTTATTGTACGTTAATTATTTCTCTAAAAATATTTCTAGCACAATATGTCTATAATTTAGTAACTGGAATTTAATAACATGTGGTAGACAGAAATGGTTTTAATAAATAAGGTAAATTTCCCAGTAATTAAACAATGTTCCAATGATTGATACATTAACAATAGATTTATATTTGATATTTCTAAAAAAAATTTTTTGAGATTTACTGAAGAATATTTGTTTCTGCCAATTTGCAATGTTATTCAATGAATATTTAATCATTAGTTATTACATAAACTAATCTATTGTTAATGTATCAATCATTGGGACATTGTTCAATTACTGGGACATTTACCTTATTACTTTTTACTACATGTTACTAAATTCTAGAATTAATTTTCATAACGGAATAAAATTGTGTAGAATTCTTCTGACTGACATCAGACGCAATAAATATTAAATAAATTGTGGCTATATTATGAATATACATTATTGTGTAACAGTTATACGTAATATTGAATTGCGTCAGCTATGAGACCACCAGCTATGTGACGTACAAATAAAATATCATCGAATATACAAGATGTCCCGAACCTCCATGATGATCCTTGGTGAGAACGTAGAACGGATTGAGGAGAGCAAGAAAGTCCTGTGCCGTTTTGCGATATTTGCAATAATAGTCGAGATATTAATTAAAAAAGATTGGTGAATGATTACGCGCGATTTGGTAGATGAGCTGCAGTGGGGCCGTCTGCCGTTGAATACTTATATAATAAGTCAAACTGAACAAAAAAGTCCTCTACTATTTTGCAAATGACCACATAGATTTTTAAATATTAAATAATTGCAAAAGACCACATAGATTTTTAAATATTGTTACATATATGATTGTATACCATAATGCATAAATTTTCTTTAATTAATATCTAAAAATCTATATGGTAATTTACAAAATGGTAAAGGACTTTTTTGTTCAGTTTGATTTAATGTATAAGTATACAACGGCAGACGGCGCCACTGCAGCTCATCTACCATATTGCGCGTGATCATTCACCAATCTTTTTTAATTAATATCTCGACTATTATTGCGAATATCGCAAAACGGCACAGGACTTTCTTGCTCACCTTAATCCGTTCTACGTTCTCACCAAGGATCATCATGGAGGTTCGGGACATCCTGTATATGTGGCTTATAAATAGTTAACACTAAGTTAAAATATTGTTTTACTAAATTAATCAATTTTTCTGATAGAACAAAAAATCATGAGGATATTATCGATAATATAGATGAAAATAACGAAAATATTATTAAAAAATTTACTTTTCCATCACGATTTGATTATTTTCTTGTCATTTTGATGTCATCGTAATTTTCTACTTGGATCATTTACATGAATACATTCTGCATAGATACTTTCTCTAAAACAAGCAGATCGGTTTCCAATATACAATATACAAATCTAATACCTAATCTAAAACCAAATCATGGACACCGCGAAAGCCTCAAATATCAATTTCAATATATAACAAATATGTTTATATTATATTTGAAGTAATCGATGTAACATCTAGCGATAAGTATAACGCGCCTAACTGGCAATTAAATGTAAGTAGAGATTGAAACTTGCTATTACGTCTTACAAAAGCTGAATACATAATTATGAGGTAAAAAAGCAATGTGTTTACGTATTACATGGGCAATCCTAATTCTATACTATTCTGGGTTTGTCCTATTCAGATAATTACGTATTTGCGGAAGATTCAGCCAAATGCAAACAGACATAAAGAAAAAATAATAGACCTCTTAAAGTGAATGAGAGAGAGAGAAAGAGAGTCGATTGGAGATGTTTTTTTCTTGTTTAGTAATTATGTCATCTTGCCTTTTTCGAAGATATTTATAGCTATTTATTGCACTGTCTTCTTCTTCTAAAGAAAAAGATAATATATTATAAAAACTTATCGCACACGCACAATATTGCATGTCTACGTATATATAAAGTAAAAAACAAACAGTCAAAAATCTGACGATATATAACCGAAATATAAAGATTTATTGTTAACATATAAAAATATGGGAAGTTCTTAAACTATTTAAACAACTATTTCACATTTATACGTGTGTATAAAAACGTTGAAACAAACTTAAAATATAGTCTTTTAAAATCGCACTTTTGAAAAACTTGAATAAGTCTATTTGAAAAATAGACTGCGTTATATTTTTCTTATTTATAATTTTTTATTTTTTATTTTTTTTTATTTTTCTTACTTATCGCTTGTATGCTGACTTAGATTGATTTCGAGTATTTTAACATGTAATTTTTCAACCGATGGATTTTCTATTTCTTGAAAGATTTTATTCTTTAAAAAAGTAAGATGTTTTACGAGTGACAAAGAATGTCGACTAACCAAGATATGTATGTAGAGCACGCAATGTATCACGAAATAATCACACAAATAATTGACATTTCACCAAAATTATCACTCATTCGTATTTTTATACCGATCTGCGAAGAACGTATTTTAAATATTTAACATCGCACTCTTTGAGTCATTCGGCGCGAACTGATAGCTGCTGAACAGCTAAACAGTCTTTTATAGTTTCAGTCCCCACTTTTTCCACACATAGATACAAAGATCAATTTTTTTATACAAAACTTATGCAACTTACAATTTTTCAAATTAAGTATCATTATTTTAACTTTGGGATTATTTTATAACAATTATAATACGCAATATAAAATTAATAAAAAAATATACAACTAAGTTATTAACTACGACTCATACATAAAATTTTTCATATCTCAGTAGCTTAGCTAATAATCTGATTTCCTTTTATACAGAATGATCGAAAACAATATGCATTCTGTTAATATTATCGTATTTTTGAGCGAATTCTAAGACTATTTTTCCTCTTACAAAATGTTATTCGAGATTTAGTTGCTGAACTATAAAAATAAATATAAGTTAGCCAAAGTTAAGTTAGGTAAAATAGTTAGCCTCTCACGGGCCAGATACGAAAAGTAAGCAAAGGCGACATAATATGTGGCATAATCACATTGACATTGAAAGTTTTCAAACTAACAAGGAAACCCATACAAGCGTCCGCCTCCGATTTTCATGAACTTGTGTAATATGTTATTTTAGATAAAAATTGTTGTACTTTAGATCAAAATAATACATTTTTTTATTATATATGCCCTTTCGCAAGTTTAGGGAGTAAAATACCCCTTTGAAGAAAATCGTTTTTTTTCATTTGAAGGGAATATAATGAAAACTATAAGAGATAGAAAAACTATTTAGAATAAAAGTTGAATGGTTTGAAGAGTACTTTACAGAAATTATTTTAATAATTATAATAAGAAATGGTGGAGGAAATATTAACAAAAAAATTTTTTTTCAAATCATTTCTGCGAAGTACTCTTCAAACCATTCAAATTTTATTCAAAATATTTTTTCTATCTCTTATAGTTTTCATTATATTTCCTTCAAATGAAAAAAATCGATTTTCTTCAAAGGAATATTTCACTCCCTAAACTTACAAAAGGGCACTAAAAAAGGGTAATAAAAAACGTATCTGTTATTTTGATCTAAAGTACAATATATTACAAGTTCACGAAAATCGGAGGCGGACACTTGTTTGAGTTTTCTTAAGATGTATTAATATTGTCACATGTGTATTGCCCAACGTCTGTATCTGCGGTGAGTTGTGCCGTCCCTGCCTATTTTCCGTATCTGGCCCGTAAGAGACTAACTATTTGATTTAACTTAATTTTATCTAATTTATCTAACTGTAGCTAACTTATTTTATATTTATCTTTATAGCTCAGCAATTAAGTCTCGAATAACATTTTACAAAAGGAAAAATAGTCTTAGAATTCGAAATTTAAAAATACGATAATATTAACCGAATGCGATTATTTCCGATCACCCTGCAGATAAACAGCGTTGTTTGTATAAGTTAGTGATATAATTTTATGTAACTTAATTATGCAATTAACACGAGTTAGTTAATTCTACGTAGACAATTAAATTTAAATTTTAATTATATCAATATATATTATGTAACGTCGAGAAGAAATCAAAAGATGGAAAAACGGATCATTTTCTTTGGAGTTTCCTTTGAAAATCAACTCTAATCTGCCCGAAGAAAGAATATGGCATTAGTCCGCTTTAAATTTGTGCGAATCACTCTCCTCGTTCATACAGGAGTCTCTGGAAGAGAAAGGGAGAGACACAAGGAAAAGAAGTTTGTGGAAGGGATCTGTTTAACATTATAACTGGAATAAACGTTCTGAAGTGTTTTAAAAAAAAATTTACGCAAATTAATTGCATAGATATTAATGACCTTGTACGTATTAGAATGCTTCTTAACGCGGTAAGTGTGCTATACGTTGCACCACACGTTAGTCCTAAACACGTTCTACGATAGAGAAACTGGAACACACTCGGATGTTAAAACCGTTAGGAGCGCCTCGTCGGAGGTTTTGGAGCGGTTAGTTGCATATGCAGCTGTAGGATGCACATGATAAAACAGACGTGGATAGAAGTATCACTCTAGGTCAACGCACTTCGACAATGGTACAGTGCTCTAGTCGAAACGCCTAGTCTGTGCATCGTAGTCGAGTCTACTGGAACTGATACCTACCATAATATGCGCGAGGCATTTTTTCCAGGTTTGCATAGTTTTACGATAAAAAAAAAATAAAAGACATTGAAAGGAATGTTTAGCGAGTCTTTTACTTGTCAGCTCGAAAAAGAGCTTTACCCAAAACTAATAGTACACAATGCACGCAATTATTGGGCACCACCTGCTTATATTATTCAAAGAGACAAAAATATCGATTTGGACGACGAAGCGGGTGGTCCACTCAATTATTCTAATATACTTTCCTCACGAAACCGGTGCCTTTTTCGCTCACCTTTCGCGTCCTGACGCAGACTCCTGGACCACGATCTAACGAAGGACAGTCGATCCCACGACGGCATTGCTGGGGGAAATGATTTTACGGTCGATTTAATCGCTGCGCCAAGCGGACGTCACTTTCGCGACCGACGGAAAAGCCCCGCGCCGCGTGCTACAAGGAGGAATTTGTGGTTTCATGCGTCGGATGTAATCGGAGCGCTTCAAAAATCAAGGCACTTTCCGTACTACCATCACGACTACGGGTTTTTCATTCGGCTTTCGTTTTAACGAGCCAGCGCGCGATGATCCTTTCCTTCTGACGACTTTCTCGCAGTGTTCTTTTCTCCACTTATTATTTATTTATCTAGGCAGCACGCACGCACGTTTCACTGTATCAAAAAGTGCACGTCTTGTCATTTACTTGCTCGTTTAACAATATAGAGTTATATCAGATTTAATTTTTCATCTTAGTAAGCATACATATGATATCAAAAGACAATTGCCGCGCGTGAAGTAACAATTTCCATATATTTACATATTTTCACAGATGACGTTGGCTACGTGTAATAGATTCGAACTTGCACTTTGTGCAAGTTTATAAGCATATCACTATATCATTATATCATTATAAGAGCACTTTATACTATTATGGTCGCTCCGATTTGAAGAGAGCGAATGAAAAACGGATAGACGTCACTCTGAAACTTTGACGAAGTTATCGACAAAGTTACAAAAAATGAGGGTTCAAAGTGCACAGTTTACTCAGGAGTCCACTCTCTCATATCTCCTAAAGCAAAAATCACATCCGTATGGTGGAAGCCTTTGTCAATATTACACTCTGCCGATTTTTGCACAACTTGATATAATACACAATATGCAGAATAGTCTTCAGAGACGAATTCAACAGTGCACACTTTGTCCGTCCGATCGTCGTCGTGCGGACTCGATAAATACTAAGGCAAACACTGACCCCCTTTCATAGCATAGCGTTGGGTATATACCTGGGGTAGTTACGACAGGTGCAACAGAGGGGATTTCTAGGTAGATAGCAGTTTATCGAGACACCTGATCGGGAAGTTATTGTATAGAGTATATCTCGACGTAAAGTGTAAAAATGCAACTAATATAATATATGCATGTAAGAATGACAAATTATACAATAATAGATATAAATATAATAACAATTGCTTATAACGACTTATATCCGAAGGAGATCAATGGAAAAACTAATCGTGATTGTTGCAACGCTTACCCGTTCGATACTCATGATGTGATGACGCTCTTTTCATGTATATATATATATATATATATATATATATATATATATATATATATATATATATATATATATATAAAAAAAATATATATATATATATA